GTCAAATAGTGTATTTTTAGTGTCATAGATGAAATCCTGCAAGTGATTGTGATTTCTCTCCGTCCATGCAATAGATGCACACCCTTGAATGAGAGCGGATTTCTAGTGCATTTACTTGAACTTCTGAGGTAATATCTTTGGTTTAACCCATTTGAGAAATTGAGAGGTGGCCAAAATCAGATTTTAAAATGGACTGAATAAAGCTCTTTACGAACTTGACGTGCGATGCCATGCTGACTGACATGTATGCGCATGAATCACTGTCACACGCACAAGCTCAGAGCAATATTGTAAGTTACTGCATGATAATACATTTTTAACTAGCAGAATAATAATGCATCACGATACACATAGTCTCACTTTTAGTTACGTCTTTTAACTATTAAAGTATTTCGAAGGGCAAAAACATGAACTTTAACAATTGGCTTTACTTCAAATAGCTGTCATTTCAGCACGAGGCCAGTAGCATATAGCATTAGCACTTCAGCTCCACCCACGTCCCGCCTCTTTGCCCATTTTATTTCATCTGGGAGTGATGAGAGGTGACGCGCTGCCAAGATGGTGACGGCCGGCCCCACCCACTTTAGGTTTCAAAAACGCTCTTCAGAAACCTACGGGTGACGTCACGGACGCTACGTCCATATTTTTTTACAGTCTATGGTTCTCCCACTGATCATTATCAGCTTTTACTCCCCCTTTGATAACACTAGTCCAGCAACTAGTGGACCTCAGACACATTCCAGGCGGGGCAAAGTAGCCACATGCAAAACCAAAAAAATGCGATCGCGTTAACTCTCACTCCAATTTACTATTGAAACGCACATAATGCCCATAAAAAAGGACTCTTACCCATTCATTCATAGAAAACCTTCTACGAAGGAACAGGCATGTTTCCAGAACATTTTGTGTATGATTATTACTCTCTTACATAGTTTCTTTTTTACTATATACTGTTTTATGCATGCTTTATGATATATTAATTAGATAATGTACCCTTTTCCTATTCAGTTGTATAATCACTTGAGACATGCACAATTTTGTATCTAATTTTCCTATTTGATCATACATTCTTTAATAGTGTTTTGGCCTATGTATTAATCCTGGAATGACCGTGTTATTATTACTCTATTATCAAATCGCATATATATTATTCTAGTATCTATGAATTTGTATTTTGATGACCTACATGATCTTGTATATTATATGTTGATATATGCAACATATTAGTGTTACAAGAATTTTTGATAGTTTCTGCATCAACACCCAATCCAGTTACATATGCAAATTACCATGCTCAAGATGAAGGATCGTAAAACTTTCCCTCCGAAAGCTTACGTTACCATTGGCTCAATGTCACCTGGAGGAGTGACATCCCCCACAAATGAAAGGGCACTTTCGAAGTGACCACCCTCTCTTGCTGCTGCTCCTGGTTGCTAAAAATATTTTGATAGATGACCAATTCTGAGTGTTCGCTGGACGAACAGATGAATTGATTGTAATAATAATTTAGCTACATCAAGTTAATTCGTTTAACTGATCCAAATATTTATAATTAATTATAAGAAGGTATGATTTATTATTCATATTTCCCTTTTGAGATAATTTGCTACAACATTTTTAGTTGCTGTTTTCAAAATAGTGTAACTTGTCCAGTAACAAATAAATTTTTCCAACATGTAGCAGCGTATCAGCTGTTTTTAAGATTCACATTGTTTTATAACTTTACTTTCAAGAAAACTGAGGGAATATTCAAACACACTTTTAATCCGATTCATTCAAGTCAATTGTTTTGTCCTAAATTAATATATCTCTCATATGTTTCATTGTCTGATTCATTCTTAATTTGTTCAAAATGTAAATGAACGAATAATAAAATGATTATCATTAATATTTTGTGAATTTGCTGTTCATACTTATTCAACTTAAGATATTTTTGGTGCGTTCTGTATAAAGTTATAAGTTTGAGGCTTGTTTTTATACTTATAACTAGTGACTGTAAATCAGCAATTTTATATTGTATCATCGTTCCATTTTTTTGTTTGTTTGCTGTTTTTTTATTTGCTTCGCTATGTACTGAATTAGTAGAACTGTCTTCCATGTAGCTCCTTTTTGTTTGTTTTTTAAAAGAATAGCTTCTTTAAATCGAGTTGATAGTAGCTTCGCAGGCTACACTTTAAAAGTGCTTCTTCAACATTGCATTGCTCAAGGGTTTCCAGAAGTTTAACTTAACTTCTGTACATTAACTTAACAACAGTGGAATACACTATATTGACACATTATTTGGTTTCCATTTATGTGAGTTCATGTAAGTTCAAATGAATTTTGAGGCAAACATCTTCCAGAATTTACTCAAAAAATCTGCTTTCCTGACTGTGCCATATGCATCACCTTAGAAGTGGCTTCAAATGTTGTTCTCAGGGGTATGCGAGACTTCACTAATCAGTAGATTTGTCATCACATCTCTTTCGAGCTGGGGTTTTTGATTTCCAGAAAACACTCTCACTTTGACATCATCTATCATAAGAAAGCTGTAGAAAGACTTCATAAAATTCACAGTTACTGCAGACTTGCTTTTCTGCTTTAACTAAAACTCTTCTTTTCATCTTGTGTAAACCATGCTGGGCTATGTTTTAAAATTGAATCTTTACAGTGTCTGTATAATCTCCTGTTACAGAGTTTGAACTGAAGAGAGGGGAGGGGTAGACTGAGTTCTTAAAATTATCTGACAAAGTATCAGACACTCTGGCTTGATTTCTTGGGGCTGCTTGCATCACGTCTACATCAGCTTGAGCCCAACTGCAGCCAAATGACTAACAATGGCTTCTAGTTTTTTGAAGCATGGTTTTGAAGTTTGTTTGTTTTTTTAATGGCAGCTACATACGTAAGCACTTTAATGTAAAACCTTAACAAATCTTGCTTCTTTTTTTAGCAAGACACTGATTGATGTTAAAAAGTCTCTAAACCATGATTGCAGAATTTTTCGAGGTTGTTTGAGCAGAGGGTCATATTGTACATTTCTAATAATCAAACTCAGCTTGTTTTGTCTTTGACCTTTCTTAAGTTCCGGAGCAGCAGGTGACAATGAGTGATTTGTCACACTGACATTTGTGCAGTGGTACTCAGATAGACCTGCTGAGTCCAATCAGTGCAAAATAACACGCACACAAACACCTTTGAGCCTTTTCTGACTTACCCAGACATTTACTCATACTAGCACTAAAAGTACAGTATATACTTGACTGGTGATGGGAAAGTGCATCTCCTATAAGAATGTAGAAAGACAATACGCCAGCATTGAGAGTGATACATTACTACAATATACCACTGCATCTTGTTACTACAGACCTCTTTGTTGTTTTGCTATAGTGTTTGTGTTTCAATAAAGTCTCAGAAAGATCCCTCAGAAACTTCTATTGGCAATATTTTTTTTTTTTTTTTTTTTACTTTTAGGACAGCAATGCATTCAAATACAAATTTTTAACTTATCTAGGATCAGATTTTTCATGTGTACATTTATTTAAATGTATTGAAACTCAATTCCACATGAGAATCATAAAATATTAGCTTATATTTTGTTTTTCATTGATTATGTTCTGTGCACATACATAGTGTTGTTTAATGATACTTCACCCTCTATACCACTGAGGTGCCTCAGCTTTTATCGTTCTCACCAGTTCTTGGATTTAAATAATACAAGAAATTTGGATTTGGAGTAAAAAAAATAGCAGGAAACTATGAAATTATGTATTTGTGCTAACTACATAAATAAAAACAGATATTAGCAGTTCCAAACACTAATGATCTACCTATAGAGGCAGTATTTTGGGGCATCATAGACGCGCTTACAACACATGGCTTTTCCAAAAGATAAGCATCTTAATTATGCTACTTCCTTAGCTAAGTGCATTGTTTTAGCCAAATTTTAAGGCAGCATCGCATATATCCTTTGTTCACAGGATAATACCAAAATGGATTGTGACAAGCTTGGTCAAATATAATAATAACAATATAATATAACCAAATCTATAAAATAACATTGATTAAAAAATCTTTGTGTAATTATTTTACCCAATATTTTTGTGTGATGCATTTATACTTTTTAAAGCTACAGGTGTATTAGACAGCCTTTAGCCTTTGTGATGCATCACTTTAGAGGACACCTACAGTTTTAGGATGTTGCCTATGAAGGCAGTAGGTAGATTTTGTGGGGGTTGTACAATGTTAATAAGAAAATAAACAAATGTATTTATTTGTATGGGGGTTGTACAATGTTAATAAGAAAATAAACAAATGTATTTATTTTTATGTAATTTATTTGGTCTTATGATCTCCTCAAGTCTTTTTCACTGATTATTGTTTACATTTCAATAATCCACATCATATCTTTTCTCTCTTGATATTCATATCTGTTTTTCTTTTTAAATTAATGAATCTGAGGGACACAAACACAAGCATTTTAATGTTTGATCTGCTGCCCAAATACACAATAACTTTATTTCAGTCTACTCAGTCATGATGAATCTGTCTCTCTTTCACTTCTCTGCAGGCTTTAGCATAAAAATCAGATTATACCATCTCTCCAGATGGTGATGAGAGGATGGGATTGTTCACTATATTTTGATGAAGCAAATAAGTCAACTCTCTGGGTTTTTGTAGACAGCATTGTTTGGGATTTTTACCCTTTTAGGTTGCGATTAGAGTTATGAGGAGAGTTTTGCTGATGCTTTTTTCTCTAGGATTGCAGGTAAAACAGACATGCATTCTCTATATTTGCATGCATTAACTGTATTGTATTTTACTTGCAGTCCTGCAAGGCCACCAGAAATAATTTTTGTTTCAGTGCTTAGCTATCAAACCTTGAAATGGGAGTCACTGCTGGTAGATGGGATTTTTGTTGCTTTTAAAGAATAGCAAATTTCACGTATGGTCTTAAGGGCAGGGTGCAATTTTATACTACATTGTTATAATACATCTGCATTCTACACTGCTTCTCACATCAGGCCACCATGAATGCTCGCACACAGAGGATTCTGGACTCAGGATCTCTGACCCAATCAGCGCCTGCCAGCCCCACCAGCAAAGGAACACTCATACATCAAGCAGGGTGAGTTACTCGCACTTAAATATGTATTAGATTAATTTAAAATCAGCAGCAGGACCATATAGTCATCTGGAATGATTCTTTTTTAAATAACAGGTGAAAAAGCAGAATGTAATAGCTTGTGCTTCTGTTATTTTACTCTTCTTTGCATCTATTAAATAACATCCTGTACTTTTTGGGTTATGTTCATTGTCACTGGATATTAATTTTGTTTTAACATGCAGCATTGCAGTGCATGCTGACCCTCTTCTTTTGCAGCACATTAATCTGTGTGTTATGGCCCTGCTTGTTGGTGTTGTAGTGCTTCCCACAGATCCAAACGCTCTTCATCTCCCTCCAGCGGATCTCCTCCCATGCCCGGTGCCTCCAGCTCCAGCCTCACCAATGAAGTGCCCAAACCGCCGGTCCGGGAGGCGCCGCCTGCTCGGCCACCATACACACCGACTCTGGGTGGTCAGGCTCCCCACTCGCAGCAGTTCCCACGCACCAGAAAGATGTTTGACAAGGGCCCTGATCAGGTACAGCATTGATATTAGTTTCCCACAGATCTTCCTCCATCAGATCTTGTTCATTTGTAAGAACACTGTATTTTGCAGTCTTTGTGCTTTTCTTATTTTGTGGCAGTCTTTGTTTGTGGTTTAGACCAACAGTAGACATTAGTTGTAGCATATTTGTAAGATTTTAACAATGAAACTAAGCCTTGTGCCATGAAACCAAGCTATTGTACTATTTACAATGGTACAAAATATTTCTATTCATCAAATAAATGCTGTTCTTTTAAACTTTCTATTCATCAAAGAATCCTGATTCTTTTTTTTTAACATGGTTTCCATAAAAACATTAAGCTGCAAAACAGTTTTCAACATAAATATTTCATGCCCACGTTTTTCTTAATTAGTAAATAGTTGTGTAATAAGCAGCATAAAGCACAGTCAGACCTGATCACCCAGTCAGCGTTTATGTAGTGATTCGGTTACATATTGTCATTTGTCTGGTGTGGTCCTCAGGCTGCTGAGGATGGAGATGAGACAGCTGCTCACAGGAGCTTCATCAGTGTGAATCTGCAGACAGGTCTTTGTGACTGGAGTGCCAAATATTTCGCTCAGCCAGTCATGAAGGTGAGTGCTGCATGGATAAGAGGTGAAATCGAATTAATTTACTTCTAAATCAAACTAATTCAGTTAATGAATTGACTTGAAATCATTACTATTCAGGTTGATTTAAACATGTTGATTTAGCAATTAAACTTTAAATAATATTAGTAAATGGATGAGTTGGACCTCACTTCTAATATTATCAAAAAAACAATTTGCCCAAAGTGAAGTAAAGATTAGTGATGTAGTGTCTCAAAAATATGTATGCGATGTTGTTATTTTGGGGAGGAGAAGGGGTGGGGATCCTTGTATGCGCAATCTTGCAGCGGGGGGGAGGTTACGTGGTCAATATTTAACTAATAAAATGTGACCACTAATTAAAAAGTCATGGGAACGAGTTCTAAATAGTACGTTTTTGGAGGAAAATATGCAAAATGCCATTGGAAAATCCTTATGCACCTTGTGATTTATAAGGACCCCCATAAGCTGATAATGTGAGGTACAATGAGGTAAGATTTCCTGACTCAAAGTTTCTGTTGCCATGGGAATGGCATGACATTTCTTCAACCGTTTATCCTTTTTTTTTTTTTAAGAGAAAACACTTTCTGCCTGTTCCCAGCCAAACTACAGCTGCCAAACTTCATTGTCCCCAGAGGGGACTTTCTAAAATACAAAACTGCTGCTGCGGTATTCAGTGTTATCCCATAAACCAATATTTAAATATATGTGTGTTTGGCTCCTTTGATGTCATGCTTTACTACAGGGCTATTCTATACTATCTATTATACTACCCTTTCTACTGTGAATTGTGTATATATATATGTCCATATAGACAGAACACAAAATACAATCATTCTATCATGTTATTTGGGCATGTACCATGTAATATCATGGTGTATAAAAATGTTAGTCATTCAGGACTGTGGTATTATCATCTAATACCACCACTGCAACACATCACCGCCACAGTATTTCAGTAAGAAAGGTAATTTGTTTAGTGTTTTTTTTTTACATTGTCTTCTGTAATTGTCATTTACGACTGAAAATATTTGTGAAAATGCGTGTGGGTTTTGTGTCCTGTCCTGATGCATTATAATGCATTCCCATCAGTATGTGATCAGTGAGGAACACACACAGCCTGTGGCACAGTGCTGAGAGTAATACCTTATGTTTACTGCAAGAGAACAAGACACGTAATAATCAATAATGTGTGGGAGACAAAACAGCATAAAACATCAATAAAGTAGCATACACAATGTTGCTGATAGGACTTTGTTGATAGGTTCTCACTCTTAGTGTGTGCTGATGGGGGAAGATGCTGGAAAAAGGATTGGTCAATGTGCGAGAGAGGTCAGCATGATTTTTACCAGCCTTTTTTTCAACCAGGATATATATAGATTTAACTGGGATGTTAATTTTTTCAACACATCACACAATGCACTGCAGTTTCCATTTTTAGTGTGATGATTTGAGCCCAACCAATCAAGAGAATGCATTGACGACTTCTATAGCAATTGTGTAAAATTGTACCAAGAGAGCATATACACTCACCGGCCACTTTATTAGGTACCCCATGCTAGTAACGGGTTGGACCCCCTTTTGCCTTCAGAACTGCCTCAATTCTTCGTGGCATAGATTCAACAAGGTGCTGGAAGCATTCCTCAGGGAGTTTGGTCCATATTGACATGATGGCATCACACAGTTGCCGCAGATTTGTCGGCTGCACATCCATGATGCGAATCTCCCGTTCCACCACATCCCAAAGATGCTCTATTGGGTTGAGATCTGGTGACTGTGGAGGCCATTTTAGTACAGTGAACTCATTGTCATGTTCAAGAAACCAATTTGAAATGATTAGAGCTTTGTGACATGGTGGAAGTAGCCATCAGAGGATGGGTACATGGTGGCCATAAAGGGATGGACATGGTCAGAAACAATGCTCAGGTAGGCCGTGGCATTTAAACGATGCCCAATTGGCACTAAGGGGCCTAAAGTGTGCCAGGAAAACATCCCCCACACCATTACACCACCACCACCAGCCTGCACAGTGGTAACAAGGCATGATGGTTCCATGTTCTCATTCTGTTTACGCCAAATTCTGACTCTAACATCTGAATGTCTCAACAGAAATCGAGACTCATCAGACCAGGCAACATTTTTCCAGTCTTCAACTGTTCAATTTTGGTGAGCTCTTGCAAATTGTAGCCTCTTTTTCCTATTTGTAGTGGAGATGAGTGGTACCCGGTGGAGTCTTCTGCTGGTGTAGCCCATCCGCCTCAAGGTTGTGCGTGTTGTGGCTTCACAAATGCTTTGCTGCATACCTCGGTTGTAACGAGTGGTTATTTCAGTCACTGTTGCCCTTCTATCAGCTCGAACCAGTCTGGCCATTCTCCTCTGACCTCTGGCATCAACAAGGCATTTCCGCCCACAGAACTGCCGCTCACTGGATGTTTTTTCTTTTTCGGACCATTCTCTGTAAACCCTAGAGATGGTTGTGCGTGAAAATCCCTGTAGATTAGCAGTTTCTGAAATACTCAGACCAGCCCTTCTGGCACCAACAATCATGCCACGTTCAAAGTCACTCAAATCAACTTTCTTCCCCATACTGATGCTTGGTTTGAACTGCAGGAGATTGTCTTGACCATGTCTACATGCCTAAATGCACTGAGTTGCCGCCATGTGATTGGCTGCTTAGAAATTAAGTGTTAACGAGCAGTTGGACAGGTGTACCTAATAAAGTGGCCGGTGAGTGTATATATATATATATATATGTATGTATAGACTTTATTTTTATATAACTTTTCAGAACTAAGACAAACAGTCAACCAGCTTCATGGGTATTTACATGGAAATTCTTTCAAAATATAACATTGAAGGGAAAAAAAACTGTTTCCATAAATGGTTAGTACTAGCACTATATTAAAGAGATTCTTGAGTAAAAGGAAGTCTTCAGGTTATCATGTAAACATACATATATACACTTATAGACACATACATACACAAATATACTCATATCCAAAGCCATACATTCATGCAGCTTAGAGTAATATATTTTCATGGTGGTGGTTATAAATATGCATATACATATTCCTATTACACATTTATCTCCCTTCTCTCTGTTTTTATATATTCATAGTAGACTTGAATAACAGTCTTTCCATTTTATAAATGTTTGTAACAGTTTGTAATATACCAATCTGGTATATTACTAAAATATAGAATATAATCTGTTTCCCCAATCTCAAAGATTTTCTCTATACTTATATGTATTTCTGACCAATACAGTTTCAAAACACACTGCCTTAAGCAGGAGCCTAGATTTGCTACTCCTTTTTGTTTGGCTTTCACTTTGGGCGTAATAAAGAAACGTTTAGTTTTTTTTCCAACAAAATTCCCTTAAAGCCCTGGAAAAACTAGTCATGCTCTGTGAATGCCATCAATTTAACCATTCTTCATCTGGGATGCAAATCTGCATTTCCTTTTTCCACCAAATCGCGCCGGTGCATTCGTTGACCACAGGGGGTTAATATACTTAGTTGAGTGACCTTTAATCTAAAAGGGATTTAATTTGTGACAACTTTACATCATCCCTCTTATTACATCGTTACTGCAGTGTAGTGCTGTGATGACATATTTTTGTTGGCCAAAACCTATAAAAAAGTTACCATTTTAGCAGTTTCGGTTCCATTGTCCTGAAGTCAATGGTTCTTTTAAATGGGTTTTTGGTTAAATGCATGAAATAAGGTCTGTGGTGAACAGAAGCTCAAGATATTTTCTACAATTTTATTTGTACGTGTTATTCTACAATTTAAAATACATCATACCCTTTTGTGAAAAAAAAAAAAAAAAATCTTTTAGTTGTCTTGTGAAAGCGGTTGCTAACAAATGGCTAAATGGGACTAGAGGTTGTTTGGGGACATTAAACAGCATAAGCCAAATAAGTAAACTGATGCAAACTTACGAGTTGGCCTACAAAAATACGTAATTCCTGCACCACTATTGATTTGAGTTAAAATTTGAGACTTCAAAGTAAGGGGTAAATCCACACAGGTAACAACAAACAGGTAATCCACATGAACAAGGCATGCAACAGTTCAACATATTTTAAAACAATATATGACAACAAAGTGAATAACAGAGAGGACTATAAATGTGGTCGACACTAACAAACTAAAGACAGAGGTGATTTTTGTATGGTGACTGACACAAACACAGGAAATATGGGGATTGTGAAGTTACCGTGGGTGTAACTAAACCACATTTGTCGTTAAACTACAGGAGTGGACATGTTCGGTTCACTTAGTTTTGTTGTGGCCACGACCATAGTAACTTGTGGGAATGTAATTATATGTCGTGGTAATAAGATATTAATTTGTGGGAACATCATATTAACTTGTGGAACCGTGATAATAAGTCGTTATCGTTAAATCAACAAGATCCTATGTGTAGGGTATGACATTTTTCTTGTGGCCATGACTTCATTTGTTGAGGGAACGACATCTATTTCTCATGGCCACGAGTTAAATGCATAAACGACCATAGTAACCTGAAGTTATCAGACATGGATTTTTTTTTATTAAGAAAAAACGCAGAATTGAGGCTAATAACATATTACCTATTATATTGTATTGCATGTGATGGTGCATATAGACACCAAGCATTCAAATCAAGTTTGTTATCAGTAAATGTTAAAAGAATATGCCTTATTAAACGTTTTATCTATCAGATCCAACATTCTTTTAAATCCATTCACGTTTATTTTTAAACATTTTTTACTATTATTATTTCGTTACATTTTATTTGTATTTATTGTTATGTATTATGTTTGTTAAAGTATATATTTTGTAAATACTGTATGCCTGATCATGCCAGTAAAGTTTTGAATTTCTGTATACCAGTATATGTATACATTTATATATATATACCGTTTGATCCATCTCTTTACCCTGTTAACGTTTTGTATTATCTAATAGCCTTCTTACCGCACCATATAGCTAACAGTTAGTTCATAGTTTTGTAAATGG